CTTGGGACCAATAGGCTAGTCAAGTAGTGAGCCAATTTAAAATCGTTAATTTCGTATTGATTGTTGCTACCTCCATTTACTCGTCCGATCGCGTCATATCGTGAGCAAGGATACGAACACACGTAAAATTTATATAGACTTGGTATGCGTCTCACCTCGTTAGAGCATCTCCACCGCTAGTTCTCATTTCGAACGTTAAATGACGACACGAACGGGTCTCTATTTAGTTTAGCAACCCGGAAAAATGTGATTTCCCACCGCAGAGTTGGTATAATTATAGAAACTCAAACTCCCACCGCGGGTTTCCAAAATGACATCTTCATCCAGGTGACTATACATAGGTGTTCTTATGTGTCAAATTCATGATTCAGTTTTGTTGGATCTCCTCGCCCATATAATAACAAAGCTGTATCACCATGTTATACCCACCATGGGTTATGATTCGTTTTGTTGAGGTTTTGTTTTGTTTTGGTGTTGGAGTTATTGTTGTTGCTGTTCATCGGAGAAAAGGGAGAAAAGTGTAAGCGTGACTGCTTTCTCACCCCAATGTGTCTGGGTTCAATCCCAGCCGAGGTCGGTGGGTTTTTTCTGAGGCATAAAAATCTCTGGTCACGTCTTCCTTCGGAAGGGAAGTAAAGCCGTTGGTCCCGGCCCATGTGTGTTGAATGGGTGCGATATCCTACGCAGGTGTGGAAGCTGCCTTCCTGCACATTCGATTGCCGGGATGGCAATCATTGTCCGTCGGTGATTGGCATTAGATTGCGGAACAGAGACCGACGTTAAATAATGGAAAGAAGAAGAATAAGAAGAAGAAGAAGAAGAAGAAGAAGAAGAAGAAGAAGAAGAAGAAGAAATTACTGTTGTTTTGAAATTGAATTTCCATTTTAATTTCAATTCAGGAGTTACTGTTATTCCGTCCGGCTCCGCACTCGGTGGAGGGTGTTTTTGGAAAGCTAAGGAGAATAGCCAACATAACCGGAACGGCCTATTTATACGGATAGTCTCAGTTCTGTCGAGGCTATCCGTTCCATTAGGCCGGTAAAGCACTTCTCGTATTTTGTCTTGAAAATACGAGAGCTGCTTAGTGCTTTATCCGTGCGCTCTTTCGTCATCACCTTCGCGTGGGTCCCTTCGCATTGCTCAATTTTGGGCAATGAGAAGGCGGATTCACTTGCGAAGGTGGGCGCTATGGAAGGCGACATTTATGATCGACAAATCGCCTATAGTGAATTTTTCTCTATTTATCGTCAGCAGTCGCTCGTTAGCTGGCAACATCAATGGAGTGAAGGGAGCTTGGGACGATGGCTACATTTAATTATCCCTAAGGTGTTGAAGTTTGCATGCTTCAAAGGGTTGGACTTGAGTCGAGACTTCATACGCGTGATGTCTCGTCTCATGTCCAATCACTATTGTCTAAACGCTCACTTGTTCCGTGTGGGGTTGGGAGACAGCAATCTCTGTGAATGTGGACAAGGTTACCAGGACGCTGATCACATCCTTTGGTCTTGTGCGGAGTATCGTGGAGTCAGATCACATTTTTATGATTCCCTTCGGGCTCGAGGTAGACAACCTAATGTTCCAGTTCGGGATATTTTGGCTAGACGCGATCTGGAGTTTATGAAACTCATATATGTTTACTTTAAGGATATTAACCTTAGATTGTAAGTTTGATTAACCTTGTGTTTAGTTAGTATTTTGTACGTGTGGGTTTTTTTTTCAATGTTTGTTTTCAAGATGAATAGAAATAATTTCATGCTTTAGGATTAATTAAATAGTTGTATCGTAAACCACATTTCAAACCTCCTTCTTCCCTTTTCCCATCCAAAAAATTGTAAATCTCCACTAACCTCGAGACAAGCGCGAGTACTCGGTCCAGTTCCTTTAACTTTAAATATAAGAGAGTAATAATGTATAACGCAAAGGATAACTCGGCTCTGTAAAGTTTATTCGATTGAGCCTGTATAAATAAAGTAATTAAAAAAAAACCGGAACGGCTTCGATGGCCAAGAAGATCGACAAGATTCAATCGATGTTCGTGGCGTGTAGGCATTCGGAGGCTCGATTCATCATTCGTTCGCTTGCTGGGAAGATTCGGATAGGTCTGGCGGAACAATCGCTGATGCAAGCACTGACTGGCTCAAGCATGTGCCATGACTCCACCTAATCAGAAGGACGCCAAGTAACCCTTCATCAACGCGCTGAGCAAGTGCAACGAGGCATCGGCCAAGGCCAAGGTGGAAATAATTACTCTTACCGTGATTACAGTCTACTGTCAATGTACGAACTACAAACAGATCGTTACGGTCCTGCTGGAGCATGGTACCGACCAAAGACGATGTTAAATAAGAGACACGCGAAGACTGAAGCCAAAAGTTCCAATCGAACCGTCAAACGCGGTTCCAATCGAGCAATGTAAATAAACACGAGCGCTTCACAAAGAAAAGTGCGGGAAGTATTGAGACTGGGGCTGAATTCAATTGTTGAGGTTGGTTGTTTTTATTAAGGAGATTTTCAGCCAGACGCTGGTTAACTGTTGAGAATAATAATAATTATAATTAAGTTTGCGTATGACAAGTGAAATTGGACAGGGAATATTATTGTTATTCAACAGCTGTATTCTCGTTATGTTCTCACAACATATTTGCCCCAGCACAACGAAATACATCTACACAGGCTATGTAACAAAGATCAAGGCGTTTCCGGTGTAATTTTTTAAGATAGTAAAATTTGTGAAAGACTTAAAAAGAGATTTTAATTATACATGATAGGAAGCAACAATTGCAGATTGAATAATTGTGTAACGCTCGGTAGAATATAACCTCCAATGTGGTATATTTGGTTTCACTCAGAGTTGTCAAAAATTGAGTCTTCAAATACTTCCATTGAATAGCGATACTACCGATACGGTTAAAAAAGTATTAACTTTACCGTAATGTTGAAGCAGACGACAGTCGCTCAAATTAAAAGTCATTTGAAGTAAACACAAAACTGCGGGTTGCCAAATCTTGCAGAAAAATAAATTAGTTGGCCGTGCAGCCAATTTACTTTTATTCTCTCCGCGCGTCTCTGGTACCGACCATTTGCTGGAGAAGTGTCCGATGATGCCGGGCACTCCATTGAAGCCCATGCTGGCCCATCCGACCAAGGGTGTCCAGAAAGTGCTGGAACGGTTCGTTCGATGGAATCGATTTCACCAGCGAGTGGAAGTACGACGGAGAACGGGCTCAGATTCATCTGCAGGAGGAGTGTCAACTTCTGCAATCGGAATTAGGAGAACAACATCAGCAAGTATCCGGATATAATCGCGCGGCTGGATAACACTCGGAAGGAAACCGTCACCAGTGCTATTCTGGACTGCGAGGCCGTGGCGTGGGATCAGGAGAAGAAACAGATTTTCCCATTCCATTGAGTACCCGGAAGCGAAAAGACGCCAACGAGGCCGATATTAAGGTTCAGGTGTGCGTTTTTATGTTCGACCTGCTCTACTTGAACGGCAACTCGCTGGTGGAGTGTCCCTTCCTCGAGCGTCGGGAGCTTCTGTACAAGCACTTCAGTGTATTCGGAGGTGAATAGAAGTACGACGCCCGACTGGATACCTGATATATTGCCGAAATACATCGTTTCCTGGACGAAGCGGTCAAAGGTAACTGCGAAGGTCTGATGGTTAAAACCCTCCAGAAGGAAGCCACCTATGAAATTACCAAACAATCCAGAAATTGGCTAAAACTGAAGACTAGCTGGATCAGGTAGTCTTCGGAGGCTACAAGAGAAAATCCAGCTCTAATCGCTCATTTGACAAATCGAATTGCGGACAAACGAAATGCTTTAGTGGGATGTTGGTTCGTCGGTGATTTAATTACCTACAACATCGTCTCAGATGTCATTTTGTTCAGAGATTGCGCTGTTCCGCTGGTAGGAAGTAATAAAAATATCCATATAGAAATTGAGAGAAGTGGTAATAATTCGCTTTTGATACATATTCAGGTAAAACAAAGTGAACGACAGCCTGAAGAAATCATTCATGGACGTTGTAGTTTACTTATTTCCCGGAAATTATTGTTGCCCTAGCGAACAATCACGTGAAGTTTCATGGAATTCTGAGAGGTAAAATCTAAAATTTGCTCATTTTTTTTTCGTTATTTGGCCTGGAACTGTCACTAAATGCCTAGAGAAAGTTCCACAATTGTTATGTTACTGCAACAGGAAACAAACCTATAGCTAATAAAGCAATCAATCAACCGGAACTTCGTAACACAAACTACGCCTGTCGATTAGTTTCTCACACCCCACAAGCCCTTCCGGGCCCCCAACTATAAATCTCTCTCTCTCTCTCTTTCTTTTCGATCGTTTCGATTGATTTGGTTATTGGCTAAATGGCAAGTTCCAGCAAACCACATTACGTCCGCTTAGCAGAGCCCTTAATGTGGCAAACAAGTGCCTCTTTGCCTGTCACCTTTTTTCATGAATGACTGACTGAAGGGAGCCCCAGACCCAGTTACGCAAATGGTTTGTAATTTCCCTTGCCCCCAATCAATCTCAATTCAATCTTGAATTTTCCTCGCCCGCCAGCCATCGACAAAGTGTAAGTATATAAAGTGACCATTCCGAGCTGAATTAATGTCATTCCGTTATTTGCCGGAGTCGGTTGTAAGTTGAAATGGGCCCACAGGTTCTTCCCCTTCATCTCATCTGGTTGAGTGCGGTAAGAAAAATAACGGCCATAAGCTCAACTTTCGATTGTTGGGGAATTGGAAAATGTCACCTCTGAGTTTGTCATTTTCTGTTTGATTACTTTCCTCCACAGCTACTTGGATTGGTGGTTTGCGTCAGCTGTGCGACACGTGCTTCGTTGAAAAACTTTGATGACGATGAGTCGCAGCAACCGCTGAAGCGTGTGGAGATTCGAGTCTTCCGTGGCCCGTACGACCGTTTCCATGGCTACGCACCGTGGGGTTACTTTGTCAGGCAACCAGCTGATGATTAAAGTCATTGATGTCTAAAGTTTACTGAGTATAGTTTTATTTAATATCAAAATTCTCTAATTTCCAAGTAACTGGGATAGGCGACGGTGTGCGCATACGGTGGCATTTGGTTGAGCAGCTCTTGGAATTCCTCCGTTCGATACTGTTCGTGGTACATGTAGTTGGCGTGGATTGAGAGGAGCAGGATGGGTTCGGCGGTTAGGGTGGTAGACGATTCGATATCGATAAAGAATTCCTGGAGACTGCGGGACTTTGCTTGAACGTAGTTGACATAGTGAACGGATTGTCCGTTCCAGGGTGTTCCACTTGGGGGGATCTCGTCGCTGAAGGTCCACGTTGCTAGGCGACTACCACGAAATGGTGACACGTAGAATCCCATCAGGGTAGGTCCTTCGATGGAGAAGCGGAAGCGACGAACGGTTGAGGTTAGGTCTTGTTTTGCGAGCAATTGTAGCCGTACCGGCTCGGGGAAGTTGGGTCTAGATAGGCTAGTCATCCAGTAGCTGTTCTTGCGTTGCCGATGGTAACGGTTGATGTAGAACGGGAACCCGCAGTACAGTTCTTGATCGCAATATTCTTCGATTGGTTGAGCTCGCTGACCCCAGACAGGGACTTCATCGAACAGATAGTGCGGCGTGTGGCGATCCTGCGGGTACAAGAAGTAGTTGTCGAGCGAATGGCGGGTACTTCCATTCTGGAAGTAGAAGTTTCGCTGTTGGTGCTGCGGGGAGGGGGTTTTGGTTAGAGGTTGTTGATTTAGGACAGGATCTTAAACAGCACTTACGAAAATGTAGTAACGCTGAGGAGACGTCCCTTCGCGGAATGGAAATCCAACTGGGGTGATCATCAGGATGACCGTCACCAAGAATGCCGTGCCGAGCAGGATGTAGAAGTAGCGTATCTTCGGAAGCAGAACCATCAGTGGAATGGATAGACTTACCAACAGCAGGGTCATCAGAACGCTGAAGAGTGCCATCATGAGATCCGGATTGGTGGCAGCGTCTCCGCGGCCTGTCATCGGGATGAATACAGCGAAAACGGTGACGGTAAGTGAACAGAAGTAGAACACCGGAATGATCTGACCGATCAGTTGGACGTAGATCCAGTGATTCAGCTTGAACTTGATGATCATGTTTACGATGCTGGACAGCGAGTGGAAGATTACCGGAAATAGAAAGATGTAGGCGGAGCGCATTCCACCGACTGTGAAGGTTACCAGAAGCGTTATGTAGATGAAGCATTGAGCGTGGAGAAACAGCAGAATTCGTCCTTGGTTGTGTAGGTATTTCTGTGGAGAAAGGTGTAATATTTGATCGCGTCAAGGCTAGTTAAGAAGATGTAAACATACCAACTTTCGGAAACGTAGGTACAGCCAGGGTCCGAGGGTCAGGCAGGCAATGAATGGTATAAAATACAGCCCAAACAGTATCCATGTGGAGGTGAACCAGGACATCGACCTATTTGCCGCATCTGCAATGGCAGCAATCGCTATGCAAAGTCCTGCTCCAACCACAATCGACAAGGTTTGAATTATAAGCGTGATGCCACATTCGAGCAACACCTTCGTCAACTTGGCACCTTCCATCCGAACCATTATCACAATCGTTAGGACGATAAGCACTAGTCCAACGATCGCCACCAGGTAGTTGATAACGTACGTTATGGTTTCATTGTAGGTCACCTTGAACAGATGCATAAAGTCGAAGAACGTCGCCGAACTGTCCCGATGGCGTTCGACGTCGTAGAGCTCTTTGCTTCGGGCCAGTTCCATGACCAGCGGTAGCAGATTATCTCCAATGTGCTGAAGTGTGTCCGGAGATATGGTCTCGAAAGCATCATAGGCCGTGTGGTACAGATAACCGTAGGAAGCGAGCGCAATGTCCATTCCGGGCCACTTTCCAACGTTCGACAAGGTTTCGTAGTCAGTGAACGACGGTACCAGTCCTAGTTGGAATACTTCTTCGGCGAGCGAGTTTGCGTATGGCCGCTTGACGAATTGTTGGTATTTTTCCATGAGAAAGGGGAAACCGGGTGCGGATTGGAACATGATTTCCCGTCCACCGTTGGCAGCTACGTCCAAATTGATGAATGCGGATACGTTCGCCGCCAGTGAGTGACCGGTCACGAAGCCATGCGCTCCTTGCATTGTGTTCTCTTCGCATCCGTTAAAAAGAAATATGACTCCATGTTTAAGGCCTAAATTATGCCGGGACATTTGCCGTAGGATCTCCAGCATGACTACAGTCATGGTCCCGTCGTCGCCTGCACCGAAACTAGTGACGGCACTGTCGAAATGGGCGTTCAGTAGTAGGTACTTCCCACTGAATTGATTGGCATTTTGCTTTCGCAAAGTAACGACGACATTCTGAACTCCCCGGTAGTAGCTGGTGATTGGATAGTCTGTGTAATCCAGGAAGTAACTACCGGATGCTTCCTGAACTTCTACGGTCACCAAATTGGAGGAATCTGCTTGCCTGATGATTTCGTTGACCGCCTCCACTAGGAAGTTAACGGCGAAAACTTCATTGGCGTTGCTGCCGACGACGCGGGGACCTTGACTAGTCAGCGTTCGCAGGTATTCGTGAGCTCGTTCCGCAACGAATACCGGTTTATCAGTGGACTATTATGATAAAACAAACATAAACAAATCTCACATTTGATAGACTGCTTGTCTCCAGTTCGTCGAACTCACCTCATCTGCTATTCGGACACCTTCCGGCAGTGTAGACCAGTTCCAATAGACGAGGAAGTAGATGCCAATCCCGACTGCTGGAAAGAGAACGCTCCAGAACAGAGGAATCGTGTGACTTCGGGAGAATTTCCTGGGGAAAAATCAATGCTTTAAACCAATATCGTAGACCAACTAAAACTCAACCTACATCTTCTCCTTCGGTGAGTGCTCACCCTACAACGACTTAATTAGTACTGAATAGCTTATCAAGAGCACGCGCTTATCTAACCGTAATTAGCGTGCGCTGAAAGCCGAAAATTCAGATGAAACACTCCATTGTTTGAACGCTTGGGCAAGGTTTGAACGAGGCGATAACTCATACCTACACCCCGGAATGTGATAAACTTCAATCAAAAGACCAATCTACAAGAAACAAATCACATCTTATCTTAGCTTCTCGGGCAAATTCTTCATTAGTTGCTCACGAAAAAAAAATATGTCGATATCGAGCGTCTTATCTCTCAAAACAGCCAGCTTTCCAGGTAGCTGGGATAGGCCACTACGTGCGCAAAATCGGGAAAGTTGTTGACAAACTGCTGGAACTCGGCCGTTCGGTATTCCTCGTGGTGCATATACTGACCGACGACGTTCAGGTGGAATGTAAGCTCGTCCACGGGTTTATCCACCGCATGCTCGATCAGTACCCAGAACCGGTACGGCGCATCATCGATTCCGTGGACGTAGTTGACGAAGTGCACATCCTGACCATTCCATGGATAGCCGCTGCGAGGAAGCTCCTTGCTAAAACTCCACTGGACCAGCTTGTTCGGTTGAATCGGTGATACGTAGAAGCTCATATGGTCCGGACCCTCGACGGAGAAGTCGTACCGGGTAGTGCTCGGTGAAGCGCTTTGACGACCTAGGAACTCGAACTTGATGGGCGTTGGGAAAGTGGGCCTCGTGTTGGCGGGCAACCACCAGGCTACGTTTCGCCGTGCGTGGAATGTGTTCTGGTAGAAGGGAATGCCACAGTACAGCTCCCGATCGCACTCGTCTCCCAGCTGGGTGGCACGTTGCATCTCCGGAACGACGTCCATGATGTAGTCGGGTGTGTGCACGTCCTGCGGGTGGATGTAGAAATGGGTATCCGAGTGGCGCATCGTTCCGTTCGGTTCGTAGAAGTTGCGCTCGATGTGCTATGGGAGAGGCATGGTTTAATTTTTGCTTGTTGATTTTGACGAAAGAAGACTTACGAAAACGTAGTATCGTTGCGGAGACGTTTCGGCACGGTACGGGAAGCCAACCGACGTTACGGAGACGATGATCGTAATGATCCAGAAGATGACGATAGCGCCAAAGTAGAAGAACGGTCTTCGCATCATCGAGATCAGTGGCGTGAGGAAACTGCTCATCATTAGGATCACCACAACCGCGAATAATGCGATCAGAAATTCTGGATTGGACTCGGCGTTTCCGCGGTTCTGCATCGGGATGAATGTACTGAACGTGGTCAACGAGAAGCTGCTGTAGTATGCGATCGGCAAGATCTGCCCGATCAGATGAATGTAGATCCAGTGAAAGTTACGGAACCGAACGATCATGTTGACGATCGTGGACACGTTGAAAAAGATCACCACAATCACGAAAATGTAGGCTGACCGGATGCTCATGGCCGTCATTACGACCAGTATGACGATAAAGATCAATTGCTGGGCAAACATGAAAAGGTTGATTCGAGTTTGAAGTAGAACATCATCCTGGAATGAGTTAAAATTAGTATCAAAGTTTCAAAATTTTACCTCAACGTACAATTTTGTAGAATCGAATCAACAGAACCGGACCGAGCACCGTGCATATCAGGAACGGACACATGTACAGTCCAAAGATCAACCAGGATTCGGTGAACCAGGACATGGAACCACCAGCCGCATTCAAGATCACCGCCATCAGAATGGTGAACCCAGCACCTACGGCAATCGACAGCAGTTGAACTCCAAAGTTGATGAAAAACTGTGCAACCACCCTGCCGTAGCTGACTCCAGCGTCCTGGGCCATGATGGCAAACGATCCGAAGATCAGCCCCAATCCCAAAGCGGCCATTACCGAGTTAATCACTATACCGGCCCAAGCCGGATAGAACACCAGGAACCAGTTCAAAAAGTCGAAGAATACTGCCTTGTTACCCTCGTAGTTGTCGATGTCGTCTAGCTCCGGAGCGTTGGCCAGACCCCGGACCAATGCCAGGACGTTGTCCCCAGTATGCTGGAGCGTTTCCAGTGGAATCGTGTCCAGTGCGTCGTAACCCGTGTGGTACAGATAACCCCAGGTTGCGTGGGCAAAATCCATCCCCGGCCGGCCTCCGAAGTTGGTGTACACGTAAAAGTCCGTTTCCGACGGAACCAGATCCGCCTGGAAGAGCTCCTCGGCAGCGGCCGTGCAGAACGGATTGGGAACGTGGTCTCTGTAATACTGGTGGGATTTGTTATTAGTTTTGAAGTACGTTGCGCACATACTTTGAAATGCGAACTATGCTTAATGTGTTTCCTTGTAGGGTTCATTTTTCCATCACACCTCGCAATTTCAAGAGCACACAACTCAAGATCTACGAGGTTTATACATCTGAAAATTTCAGATATTGCTTGCTTCTCCGCAGCAAACAACAAGTAGGGGAAATGTTGGCTTCGGCAATACCTTAACCTATTATCGTCAAGGGGGCAAACAAAGTCCTAGGGCACTCAAATTTGGCCAATAGTTGCTCTGAAACACAATGACAAAATTGAGCTCTCAAGGACGTTGTTTACCACCCTGACGATAATAGGTTAAGGTATTGCCGAAGCCAACTTGTGAAATTGCGAAGTGTAACACGAAAAAGGACACTACAGGGAATCACCTTAAGCTTTTCTATTCTTTGTATTTTTTTTAAATTGGGGTTGTTTTGATGTTTATAAGGGTGCTAACAAAATACCCAAATCTCAATAAGAGCCATATTTACGGAGATAAATCGATTTCCCAGTATATAATAGTTCATAAACTTTCATTTTCCGGCTGGTGGATTTCTCAAATCTTTAAATCGATTTATCTCCGTAAATATAGCTCTAATCGCGATTTGGGGGGTGTTCAGACGGTCGAAATTTTTATGCCCGGATTTCCCAGTATAAAATAGTTCATGAACTTTTATTTTCCGGCTGGTGGATTTCCCAAATCTTTAAATCGCTTTATCTCCGTAAATATAGCTCTAATCGCGATTTGGGGGGTGTTCAGATGGTCGAAATTTTTATGCCCGGATTTCCCAGTATAAAATAGTTCATGAACTTTTATTTTCCGGCTGGTGGATTTCCCAAATCTTTAAATCGCTTTATCTCCGTAAATATAGCTCTAATCGCGATTTGGGGGGTGTTCAGATGGTCGAAATTTTTATGCCCGGATTTCCCAGTTTAAATATTTCATAAACTTTTATTTTCCGGCTGGTGGATTTCTCAAATCTTTAAATCGATTTATCTCCGTAAATATGGCTCTAATCGCGATTTGGGGGGTGTTCAGATGGTCGAAATTTTTATGCCCGGATTTCCCAGTTTAAATATTTCATAAACTTTTATTTTCCGGCTGGTGGATTTCTCAAATCTTTAAATCGATTTATCTCCGTAAATATGGCTCTAATCGCGATTTGGGGGGTGTTCAGATGGTCGAAATTTTTATACCCGGATTGCCCAGTTTAAAATATTTCATAAACTTTTATTTTCCGGCTGGTGGATTTCTCAAATCTTTAAATCGATTTATCTCCGTAAATATGGCTCTAATCGCGATTTGGGGGGTGTTCAGATGGTCGAAGTTTTTATGCCCGGATTTCCCAGTATAAAATAGTTCATAAACTTTTATTTTCCGGCTGGTGGATTTCTCAAATCTTTAAATCGATTTATCTCCGTAAATATAGCTCTAATCGCGATTTGGGGGGTGTTCAGACGGTCGAAATTTTTATGCCCGGATTTCCCAGTATAAAATAGTTCATGAACTTTTATTTTCCGGCTGGTGAATTTCCCAAATCTTTAAATCGCTTTATCTCCGTAAATATAGCTCTAATCGCGATTTGGGGGGTGTTCAGATGGTCGAAGTTTTTATGCCCGGATTTCCCAGTATAAAATAGTTCATAAACTTTTATTTTCCGGCTGGTGGATTTCTCAAATCTTTAAATCGATTTATCTCCGTAAATATAGCTCTAATCGCGATTTGGGGGGTGTTCAGACGGTCGAAATTTTTATGCCCGGATTTCCCAGTATAAAATAGTTCATAAACTTTTATTTTCCGGCTGGTGGATTTCTCAAATCTTTAAATCGATTTATCTCCGTAAATATAGCTCTAATCGCGATTTGGGGGGTGTTCAGATGGTCGAAGTTTTTATGCCCGGATTTCCCAGTATAAAATAGTTCATAAACTTTTATTTTCCGGCTGGTGGATTTCTCAAATCTTTAAATCGATTTATCTCCGTAAATATAGCTCTAATCGCGATTTGGGGGGTGTTCAGACGGTCGAAATTTTTATGCCCGGATTTCCCAGTATAAAATAGTTCATGAACTTTTATTTTCCGGTTGGTGAATTTCCCAAATCTTTAAATCGCTTTATCTCCGTAAATATAGCTCTAATCGCGATTTGGGGGGTGTTCAGATGGTCGAAGTTTTTATGCCCGGATTTCCCAGTATAAAATAGTTCATAAACTTTTATTTTCCGGCTGGTGGATTTCTCAAATCTTTAAATCGATTTATCTCCGTAAATATGGCTCTAATCGCGATTTGGGGGGTGTTCAGATGGTCGAAATTTTTATGCCCGGATTTCCCAGTATAAAATAGTTCATGAACTTTTATTTTCCGGCTGGTGGATTTCCCAAATCTTTAAATCGCTTTATCTCCGTAAATATAGCTCTAATCGCGATTTGGGGGGTGTTCAGATGGTCGAAATTTTTATGCCCGGATTTCCCAGTTTAAATATTTCATAAACTTTTATTTTCCGGCTGGTGGATTTCTCAAATCTTTAAATCGATTTATCTCCGTAAATATGGCTCTAATCGCGATTTGGGGGGTGTTCAGATGGTCGAAATTTTTATACCCGGATTGCCCAGTTTAAAATATTTCATAAACTTTTATTTTCCGGCTGGTGGATTTCTCAAATCTTTAAATCGATTTATCTCCGTAAATATGGCTCTAATCGCGATTTGGGGGGTGTTCAGATGGTCGAAATTTTTATACCCGGATTTCCCAGTTTAAAATATTTCATAAACTTTTATTTTCCGGCTGGTGGATTTCTCAAATCTTTAAATCGATTTATCTCCGTAAATATGGCTCTAATCGCGATTTGGGGGGTGTTCAGATGGTCGAAGTTTTTATGCCCGGATTTCCCAGTATAAAATAGTTCATAAACTTTTATTTTCCGGCTGGTGGATTTCCCAAATCTTTAAATCGATTTATCTCCGTAAATATAGCTCTAATCGCGATTTGGGGGGTGTTCAGATGGTCGAAATTTTTATGCCCGGATTTCCCAGTTTAAATATTTCATAAACTTTTATTTTCCGGCTGGTGGATTTCTCAAATCTTTAAATCGATTTATCTCCGTAAATATGGCTCTAATCGCGATTTGGGGGGTGTTCAGATGGTCGAAATTTTTATACCCGGATTGCCCAGTTTAAAATATTTCATAAACTTTTATTTTCCGGCTGGTGGATTTCTCAAATCTTTAAATCGATTTATCTCCGTAAATATGGCTCTAATCGCGATTTGGGGGGTGTTCAGATGGTCGAAGTTTTTATGCCCGGATTTCCCAGTATAAAATAGTTCATAAACTTTTATTTTCCGGCTGGTGGATTTCTCAAATCTTTAAATCGATTTATCTCCGTAAATATAGCTCTAATCGCGATTTGGGGGGTGTTCAGACGGTCGAAATTTTTATGCCCGGATTTCCCAGTATAAAATAGTTCATGAACTTTTATTTTCCGGCTGGTGAATTTCCCAAATCTTTAAATCGCTTTATCTCCGTAAATATAGCTCTAATCGCGATTTGGGGGGTGTTCAGATGGTCGAAGTTTTTATGCCCGGATTTCCCAGTATAAAATAGTTCATAAACTTTTATTTTCCGGCTGGTGGATTTCTCAAATCTTTAAATCGATTTATCTCCGTAAATATAGCTCTAATCGCGATTTGGGGGGTGTTCAGACGGTCGAAATTTTTATGCCCGGATTTCCCAGTATAAAATAGTTCATGAACTTTTATTTTCCGGTTGGTGAATTTCCCAAATCTTTAAATCGCTTTATCTCCGTAAATATAGCTCTAATCGCGATTTGGGGGGTGTTCAGATGGTCGAAGTTTTTATGCCCGGATTTCCCAGTATAAAATAGTTCATAAACTTTTATTTTCCGGCTGGTGGATTTCTCAAATCTTTAAATCGATTTATCTCCGTAAATATGGCTCTAATCGCGATTTGGGGGGTGTTCAGATGGTCGAAATTTTTATGCCCGGATTTCCCAGTATAAAATAGTTCATGAACTTTTATTTTCCGGCTGGTGGATTTCCCAAATCTTTAAATCGCTTTATCTCCGTAAATATAGCTCTAATCGCGATTTGGGGGGTGTTCAGATGGTCGAAATTTTTATGCCCGGATTTCCCAGTTTAAATATTTCATAAACTTTTATTTTCCGGCTGGTGGATTTCTCAAATCTTTAAATCGATTTATCTCCGTAAATATGGCTCTAATCGCGATTTGGGGGGTGTTCAGATGGTCGAAATTTTTATACCCGGATTGCCCAGTATAAAATATTTCATAAACTTTTATTTTCCGGCTGGTGGATTTCTCAAATCTTTAAATCGATTTATCTCCGTAAATATGGCTCTAATCGCGATTTGGGGGGTGTTCAGATGGTCGAAATTTTTATACCCGGATTTCCCAGTTTAAAATATTTCATAAACTTTTATTTTCCGGCTGGTGGATTTCTCAAATCTTTAAATCGATTTATCTCCGTAAATATGGCTCTAATCGCGATTTGGGGGGTGTTCAGATGGTCGAAGTTTTTATGCCCGGATTTCCCAGTATAAAATAGTTCATAAACTTTTATTTTCCGGCTGGTGGATTTCCCAAATCTTTAAATCGATTTATCTCCGTAAATATAGCTCTAATCGCGATTTGGGGGGTGTTCAGATGGTCGAAATTTTTATACCCGGATTTCCCAGTTTAAAATATTTCATAAACTTTTATTTTCCGGCTGGTGGATTTCTCAAATCTTTAAATCGATTTATCTCCGTAAATATGGCTCTAATCGCGATTTGGGGGGTGTTCAGATGGTCGAAATTTTTATGCCCGGATTTCCCAGTATAAAATAGTTCATGAACTTTTATTTTCCGGCTGGTGGATTTCCCAAATCTTTAAATCGCTTTATCTCCGTAAATATAGCTCTAATCGCGATTTGGGGGGTGTTCAGATGGTCGAAATTT